ACCCCTACCAGTAAAAACAAGGTGGAATTCATGGTTTTTATTTTTATGTTGGATTAAACCTTTATATTCTCATTTAATAACTTTTGTTACTGCAGAATATTCTATTAATCATGATTCAAAAGCTGTTCGAGATCTTTACACATTTTGTCAAAACAGAAGCCATGTTTTTTGTGTTAAAATATTTATATATTTTATTACATATAATAGCAAAAGGTAAGTGAATTTAATGGATTTAATAATTTTATAATAATATTACTAATATAATACTTTATTTATTTAGATTAATCAATGATTTGGAATTCTTTAAAATAAGAAACAAGGCTATAGCTCCATTTGTTTATTCACGAATAGTATCTCTTCAAGCTTTTTTATCATCAGGAAACAGGAATCCTCCAATTTCAAATGAAATATTCCAATTATTAAAAGAAGAAAATCAAGATATTGCATCTTTTGTTTCATTATTTTCTAGAGCTTTTATATTGGCAAATGAAAAATGTGAGAAACATATATCTCATCATCCAGCTTTATTATTTTTCAAAGCAATACAATGTTTTGATCCAAGATTTATTCAATCTAATTCATCTAATCATAATATGGAAAATTATAGAATTATCAAAGAATTTTATCTTCCTACTGATACTTTAATACAAGAATGGGCTATTTACTGTGGACTTAATGAATCTATTGAAGAGTTTGATGATTTGGATTTGTATTGGCGAGGTAAAAGACATATATTACCAGAACTTAGTTCACTGGCTTTAATATATATATGGTTGCCAGTATCTGGTGTAGATATTGAACGTAGTTTTTTTAGTTATAAAAGCATTTTATCAGATAGAAGAGTAGCGCTTAAAGAAGAAAATATTCAAATGCTTAATTTTCTTTATTTTAATCTTAGTAATAATGAAGATTATAATAATGAATTGATGATTTATGAATAATATAAATGTATAAATTTATTACTTAATTGTAAATAAATAAATAAAATTTGTATAGGATATAAATTATTAAAAAGTTTTTCATAATCGGAATTATGTTAATTCTGGCTGAAATTATGGTAATTCTGGCTGAAATTATGGATCACGATTTTCACGATTTTTGTGATTTTTCACGCCTGATTTTTGGGCCATCACGACGTCAAATCCTGGACACCCTATCACCGACGTATATATGGTCACGTGATCAAAGTCGATATATTATTCAAAGGAAAACAAAAGGAATTAAAATTATAGGTGTATACAACCCAAATAATGACAAAGAAGCAACGAAGAACATAGAAAAGAAAATAGCAAGTTGGATTAACGAGGCACTAAAAATGGATCAAGAGACGATAATTCTGGGAGACTTCAACGAATCAGCGAAGAACTAGAAAAAACAAAAACCGATATCAACGACAATCCAAAATCATGATTTACAAGATGTTCACGAATGTTTAGCAGGGAAAGATATACTAGATACCTGGAAGAGTGGAGAAACATCGTCCAGAATAGATTATATTTTCGCGAGCGAAGGCATTCTAGGAAAAATTATAAGTCATGAAATATTAGAAATAGAAGATTTCAAGACTGACCATAAAGCACTAACAATTAAATTTGAAATCAAAGAAAAATTAGGATTAAATAGAAATGAATTTTTCAAGAAAACGAAAGCTGAACCAAAAAATGTTAAATTAGAATCTGAAGACTGGAAAATAATTGCAGAAAGAGTAGACGATAGACTTTTGGAAATAAACGAACAACATATAGATAGAGAGGAAATGTGGACGATAATTATAAGGATACACGACGAAGAAAAGAAAAAACGTATTAGTGAAATAAAAGAAATTAAAATCAAAAAAAGAGAAACGAACGGGAAAATAGGTAAGGAAACGGAAGAAAGCAAATTGGAACAAATGATCATAGAATATGAGACGTTAGAGAAAATCAACAACATACTAGAACACAAAATAACAAAACTTTTAGAGAAAATAATAAGGACAAATAATTTATTTTTTACATCATTGTAGATCTTGGTATACTTAATAATGACAGTTGTTAAGCTCCTTTTTATAAGAGATAGGGAATATTAAATTATAAATTTCTTAGTAGAAAATATAGTGGTTTTGGTAGATAAAAGGTATTTATTATATACTACTGCTCTAATACGCTTAAGTAAAACGCGTTATACCAAAAAAAAAAAAAAAAAAAAATTCTAAAATAATTGATTAATCACATGATCGGTTACATGTGACCAATTAACGTGATCGAATTTCGATCAATCATTTGATAAAATTACCACATACATTCGTAAATGCTTTTTGTAACAGAGTAATAACGCATACAACTTTTATTACTGCAAAAAAATTGGCTTTCAGAAACTGAATTCTCAGGCGCTTTTATAAGAACAGAAACAGGCAAATATTTCAAACCTTGGTAAACAATTTTTTATTACACAATCAAAAAATAATTCTTAGTAAAGATGATTTAGATTTATAAGTTTGACAAAGCATATTTTTTTAGCTGATTGATCAAGTTTTACATTTTATCTCATCGGTATTGTGTATACGCCGATTCAATTATTCCATCGGTATAGAAAAAGTATAAAAAAGTATAAACCTACAAAATCTGATATAAATGGTATTACTTTTAAATTTTAAATTTTTTCAGCTACAAAAGATTATTTTACCTCGTTTTACAGAGTTTTTTTTTTTTTTGAGTCGCAAGAATTTCTCTTCAAAAATTGATTAATAAATTGAATAACAGAACTTCTCTCATTTTAATTAAATTTTTGATTTTTTACTAATAAAAATTCTTGAAACTAGCCTTAGGATCTTTTTTAATTAAGAAATTTTTTTTATCACCGTAGACAATATAATAAAAAAAAATTGGGATGTAACTTTATAATAGAATATGTGAAAAATCATCATATAATGTAAAATATGTGCTACACATGATCTGTGAATTTACCACGAATTAAAACACCAAAAAACAAAAAAAAAAAAATAAAAAAAAAAAAAATTTATTATTCATTCATTCATTCATTTTTTTTTTTGATAAATTTCATCTAAAATTGTTTTACCTTGACCAGCACGGTTTTTTTTTCAATTTTTCAAAGCAAAACGGGGAATCGTTATCCTTGGATAGATATTTATAATCCAAAGAGATCTTTCGCAAAGTAATTAATTTTTATATACACAGCAAAGCTGATCGAAACTTCGCATTAGATATGTATATTTTTTTAATTCTATTTTTCAAAAAAAAAAAAATAAAAAAATAATTAACATGTTCAATTATTATTTTAGCTTTTTTTCAAAAATTAAGTATTAAACAGGTAAGTGAGTATGTAAATATTTATCGTAATCTGGAGAAGAATTAACGATTTCGTTCATAAATTGAACGTATAAGCTTTGAGATATTTATACCCGTTGGTATCCTGGTCATTGGAAACTCGAGGACTGCAATTAATAAGAAAAGATATCAAGCAAAAGTTCCTGGAGTTTCAAACTGCTTTAATGAATAATGATCTCACTAGAATTACTGGTGTCTTTCACAGGTTAAAGCTCGCTGGCATAAGCAACATTGTGGGGTTGCTTATGCCAAGTCGTGGAAGACTATTAAAGAGAACAAGCCGGATACTTTGTTTTTCGTTAGTCATCAGGACGGTTTAGATGTCTGCTTAAAAAGTGTAGAAAATTATTGTAGAAAATTTTGAGTCCATTCCTCAAAACGAAACAGCATCCTAAAGAGGACTAGAACAATGATCAATCCAGCAGGATTCCAGGCATTAAACTCATACCAAAAATTTGAAACCTAATATACATGTGACAAGGGTTGAAATTAAAATATCTTAGTTATATTTGACACCCAAATTAATTATTTAATTCATCTATTTTTTATTTTATTTTATTTTATTTATTTTATTTTATTACATACTAGAGAAACATACACTACTTGGACAAAATTGCTCAAAAACATACAAAATATAATATTACTCAAAATTTTAATGTGTGATAAAATGAACACTAAAAATCACATATTTAAAATTTTATATCGCTAGCTTTCATATAACTCTATTAATTAAATAATTTATTTTTTTGTAAATGATTAAATTAAAAAATGAAAAATACAATTGATGTCAATATTTTTTCGATTTCTAATCCTAACGTTATATGTACTATAATTTAACCCATCAATATTTAAGATATATGGTATAAAGTTTGAAAGAATAAAAGGGAAGTCAACCCAATGTGGTAACGTGATTGAAAAATATGAAGAAGTATATGAAGTAATTGAAGTATGCAAAGTATAACTGATGGGAAAAAATTCATATAATAAATATTTTGAAAAAAAAAATGATATATAATTAATCAAAATTTTAATTCAAGTGAAAATTAAAGAATGTAAAGCATAAAAAATATTTTCATAACAATTAAATCTTTTTGTAGTATAACGAATTTATCGCTACGCTGCAAACTTAGAATTAATTAACTAATAAACTTAATTACGGTGTAAACTTATGTTGCACGGGCATAGGATTTTTTCATATTACTTTTATAATTTATTTTGTATGGGAAAAACATATCATTTGTGATTTTTATAAGTATTTCTTTACAAAATTTTAGGGATTATTTATAAAAAGGTGAATAACGTAATGTTTAATGAACAAATTTAAATAAAACAAAAAAAAATCTTTATATTCATGAACATTCATTCAATGATAACTTTTTGTTTATGATTATTTCTGTCATTTATTCATGTATGTTTCGCCGAAGTTCCCTGTTTACCGAAGCCAAGCAATATATAAATAGGTAACAAGAGACCAGAATTACGTCTGGCATTGTCCAAAAAAGGAATGACCCTGTCACTTATTCTTGAATACCTAAATGTATGTTTCGCCCGAAGTTTCCAGTTTACCGAAGCCAATAATAGGTAACAAGAGTCAAGACTCAAGAGATCGAGAATTACGCCAAAAAAGGAATGATCTACACATTTATTACTTTTCTCAAAAGAATCCTATAGAATCATTTATACGCTGATCCGAATAAGTTATTGCAAGAGCAAAAAGGAAGAGTACATTTAATCTATTTTGACAATAAGAATATTTTCTTTAGGAAATAAAAAAAAAAATAATTATTAAAAAGAATTTGAAAACCACCAGCCTTAAAAGGTTGGTCCTATATTTCAAAAGACGTTTTGTATCACGTGACAAATAACCACAAAGACCAGAAAAGACTGTAATGTAAGACCATCTGTCTCTTTAATAACATAAACTTTTTTTGTCTGATAATATTTATAGTTTTTTTTTTATCTTTTCATGTTTTAATTTCAGTTATTTTTATCTTTCGTTCCATTTTAATAACATTGTTTCCAATTAGTTTGTTTTATTATTATGGCAGTACATCTACTTAATCTCTCATAACGAAAATACTGTGAAGCTTATTAATAATTTTCTTTTGCATTTATTACGATCATATTGTGTTTCATCCAAGTTAATCGGATAAAATTAAACTAAAGAAAAGTAAGATAATAAATCGTGAATAATGCTAATAATAAAACCATACACAAAACACAAAACTTTAAATTTACCTCAAGGAATAAAACTATTATGAGATATTTTATCAATATAACGCAATTTCTTTTGAAAGATCGAATAAGTAACCCTGACATTCTACGCAAATGCAAATAATGTGGGCTTATTAATAACTATGTAACTGTGTGGACTGTGGTGATTACTAAAAATCATCATAATACATAGTACGCTATCACCAACAACAAACTAAAAGTTTTAAAAATTTCTTTTCATAAACCAAATGTGAACTATTTTTTTATATCATACATATAATATCATTCGAAATATGTATGTTAAAATAATAATTTTCTATCAACATTTCGTTTATTTTTTTATACGTAATATTGTTAAACTGTGGTGTGTAAATATTCTCTTCCTCTTCTTGAAATAAAGGACATAAATAATTATTGTATAATGAAGGCAAAGAAATTTTTCATTTGTTTCAATTGTTGGAAATTCTTCTATCAAAAGTTTGACTTTCTTTTTTTTTTCTATTTTGTTTCTTGAAACTTGTTTCCATTGTTATTGATTCCTTATAAAATGTCAAAAATCAATTACTAAGTATCGTCCCATCACATTATTACTATCTGTACTTTACCATTTAAAGTAAAGTGATGATTAATTTAGAAGTCTATTATGCGGACAGAAATAAAAAATCATTTGATTAGACGATATAAAACAAAAAAAAATAATCAAGTGATTAGCAAAAATTTTGATTATTAAAAGAAAAATGTTGACAATATATTGTTCCAATAGACATTTTTGTTATAGGATTAAGAGTACAAAGTTTTAATAAAAAAAAAATAACAAAGGAGCAAAAGAACCAATGCTTAAATTATGATGATATTGACATAATCATAATAGTGATTTTTTATAAACATGTAAAACAAAATGTAAAACTTAGGTTTAGACATCCCGTATAAATTTGATAATTCATTTTTTAATTATTATGTAATTTTTATTTTCTTTCATAAAATATGTTAATATAATAATTAAATATTCTTATTTCAAATTTACAATATTCATAAATGCACAACAAGAAAATTAGGTTTAAATTAGAAATGAAACGGGAAAATTGGTTACTAGGTTGTCTGAAATTTTATTATTTTATTTCAAATTTAATTTAATTTTATAATCGACTGTTACTTTCATCAATAAACTAATATAAACTAGTTTAAAATTATAAATAATTTTATATTCAATTATAACTAAGAATTTTGGGACATGTCTCGACTCTCGAAATATTAAGGGCGGTAATGCAGATCAATGAATCGGAAAAAATACGGCCCGAAAACAAATTAACAATGATCGGAGTAAATTTCCGATTTAAATATCCTTTTTTTAGTAACTCTATAAAAAAAATTTTTTTTCCCGTTCAAAAAAAAAAAAAAAATCTTTTTTTTATATTTATATTACGAAAATAACCTAATAATGGAAACCGAATTTAGTAAATTAAATATCTCAGGTGGACATTTTAATCACACAAATTGTTCATATTGTAATAAACCCTTTATTGAAGAATTATGGTGTAAAGAATGTGATCCATTTAGAATAATAGAAGGATGGACCAGTGGAAATTCTGATATTGATAAGTTTATAAGATATACAATGTGCAAGCCAGCTGGATGGGGCGAAAAATATGGTTATGGTTTTCTTGAATGGGTACCATTTGATAGATTTACAGATATAAAAGAAATTGGTGAAGGTGGATTTGCCAAAGTATACTCTGCAACTTGGATTGATGGTAGATCAAAGTATCGTAAAAATGATGATGGAAGTTGGAAAAAGTTTAATCCTAATCCTATAATAAAAGTCGCTTTGAAAAGGTTAAATGGATCACAGAATATGTCAGATAAATATTTAAATGAAGTACGTTTATATACTATTTTGTATCTTATTTAATTAATTTCATTTTAGTGTTTAAATATTAAATTATTTTATTTTAAATTTATTAAAATATAGCTTAAAATACATTGGGAAATTGCTAATAAAAGTGGATTACAATTTTATGGATTTACTAAAGACCCAGAAACTAAAGAATTTATGATGATTATAATATTTGCTGATGAAGGAAATTTGAGAAGTATTCTTTCAAATAACTTTAACAACATTATGTGGGAAGATAAAATTAAATATTTAACTGGTATACTCATGGACCTACGAAATTTACATAAATTAGGATATTGTCATAAAGATTTTCATAGTGGGAATATTTTACAAACTGGTAGTACTTTTATTTCAGACTTTGGATTATCTGGACCAGCAGATGAACAAAAATCAGATGATAAAGTAGTATATGGGGTAATGTCATATATTGCACCAGAAGTCTTAAACGGAGAACCATATACATCATCATCCGATATTTATAGTCTAGGTGTAATTATGGCTGAATTATCATCAGGAAAACCACCTTTTTACAATAAAAAATATGATTTAAATTTAGCATTAGCCATATGTAATGGACTCAGACCAGAATTTGGAAAAGGAACTCCTGAATATTATAAAAAATTAGCTTATAAATGCATGGATGCTAATCCAAATGAAAGACCAACAACCAAAGAATTATTTAATATATTTTTTTTTTGGTACGATTCTATTGTAGGTAATAAAGATAATAACGAAGAATACGGTTATAAAGGAAACGAAATCAAAGCAGCATTTGAAGAAGCTGATAAAGAAATACCAAACATCTCAACTTCGTATGAAAAGAATTCTGATGCTGTATATACCAGTAGAGCGTTTACATTTAGTAATTTATTATCAAAACCCGTTAATTCATCCATTATTACTTCATATGTTAATAATGAAGGTATTTTCTATTTTTCAAATTTTTATTTTACTTTAAAACTTTAAAAATAATTATTAACTTTATTGTTTCAATAGTTTGTGACTCTCAATTAATCGACTTGGAAGTGTCTAATTCAATACAATTATGAGGTACTATAGATATTGACGATGAAAGTTAAGGTTGATGATTTAGTGAATTAAATATTATTTATTTATAAGTTATAGTATAACAGTATAATTGGTAGCTTAATTCCTTGTAATCTTATGATAAAATTAATAAATTATACATGTTTATATAATTATTATTTGTAAAGATTCTGTTTCCGGAAACAAAAAGTATCAATTTATTTGAATGTGAATGTTTTTAATATAGTCACAATTCAATTCAATTTTAATTTAAAATAATATATACAGTATAAATGTAAAATTATATGAATCGAACATTTAAAAAATTCGTTCGAAGAATATTTTATTTATTATTTTTTTATTTTGAAATCTTACTAGCATGCTTAAACGAGAATTTTGTAAAATGTTGGACTATCATAAAAAAAGGTATTATAGTTGTATAACGAATATTAACCGAAATTATCAATCAATACCGTAATTATTTTTGGACATATCAACAATAAATTCTAATTCAATTTTCAACACTTCTGTTAACCAATCTAAAACATTATAACTTAATATAAGGCATAAAACTAAGGGAATTTAATATCTGGACGGATCGGGAATAAGATGTATTTGGATTTCAGATTGTCGAGATATGTAAAGATGTGGTTTCGTTAATAAAAAGATTGGATATTTTTTAATTATTCATCAATAGGATTAATTATTCTATCAATAATTTTATTTAAAATTATTTAAATCCAATTGTCTACTAATTCTTTTTATACAAGTAAGTTGAAAAATCATGTTTCTTTATTGATTCATTAAAAATTATGTTTAAAAATTCACTTTTTTTGGGATTCCAAGCAGGTTTTTCCTATAAACGTTATAATAATAATTTCACAAAGTGAAATAAGTGTCTTTTATTATATTGTATTTCTTTTATCGCGTTTTTTTTTCAAAATTATGCTGCCCCCCCTGTGAACATTTTTAATAAAAAAAGCGCAAAATGTTAAGATGAACATCTGGAGTACGACATTGTAGCGCAGTTGATTTGCATATTGCGACGTTTCAATCGTTTCATCATGATGTTGTCATGTTAATAAAATACACGTACAGTCGTACAGTATGTAGATTAAATCCATTCAAAATCTTCAAGAACACGTCCCCAGTCGTCCCCTCCCGCTAAAATAGTCAAAATTTTTTTTCCATCCACTTTATATCCTTTTGTTTTTAACTTATTATTGTAAGAATAAAATTGTAAAAGCATAAGATGTTTATTTTTTAATTATAAAAGATTGGATATAAAGGATTTTAATTTTAATTATTTTTTCATATTCATTAATAATCAGTCGGTGATGATTTAATCAATATTTCAAATAAATTATCACAATTAAATCACTTATTTCTCTTTTCTGTATCTTTTTCTATTGTTTTCTTTTCAGTTTCTTTTATCCTTTAGTTTAAAAATTCAAACAAAAGTTAAAATTTCTTTTTTTTTTTATAAAATTATTAAATAGATGCATTTACTCTACAAACTATCTGCAATCTTTCATTTTTTTTATTTACTGTAGCTTCTTCATTTTTTTGTACGTCATAATCTTCCTATTATTTTTAAGATTTAAATAAAATTAATAAAAAAAATTTCATGATTGAATTAATTTGATTATTAAATAAGGATATTTTCATCATTGCACATAATGATAAAAGTTAACATTAAAAAAAAAAATAAAAGTTAACTTTAAAAAATCATAAATCAAAAATGAAGTAAAACACGTTAAAAATAAATAATTCTTTATTCTCATACTTTATTACTAAAATTGGAGGATAACTCTTATCGCTAACACACGACAGGTTATATATATTATGCATGTTTTTCACTACCCACATTGAAACACGGCCATCGCACGATCATGTGACATAAATGTTAACCTTCGATGTACGTAAAGTTGAATGTTTAATTTTTTAATAAAAATACTTTGGATAAAACATGTGAGAGTTTTTGCCTGAAATGATTATTTTAATAATAATACATTATATATTAAGACTGACATTAGATAAAAAAACTAATTTCTTAATTTTATAGATTTTATTTTTTAGATAGTAACTAGGATATTTAAAATTACAATCGAGAAATTAATTCAAATAACCTTATGATCGATCTTTGTATTCAGAAAGAATTCTTTTATATTGATATATTGTAAATATTAGTATTATTTATTTCATGGGGAGTTGGAAATAATAGAGTTTTTTTCCCGAAGGAAAAAAAACCCTAATGTTGGGATTTCACATGAAATAAATGGGTAATCCCCTGGTGTCACTCATTAAATATTAACTATTTTAAACTTAACTATTATAAACTAAAATCAGTAATTTCCCGGCTATCTATATGAGTCATTTATAAACTCAGCTAATTGCTCGCAATTTTTAAAAATCAGTATGATGAGTGACGGACACTTAGTGCGACAGGGGATAATAATTTGTGTACTATTGAATATAATTGATAATTTTATCACGAGTTACTTGATTGTTGACATTTTCCGAACATTTATTTTCTTATGGGCAATATGACTATCTTATGGGAAAATTGCCAAGTTCTGAAAAATTAATAATTTTAGACGAGTGGTAATTTTTACTAGTGGCTTGTGGCTTTTGTAATTGTGACTGTGACCTGCCAAACTATATAAGTTATCTCGTCATTTTTTTCTGATTCCTCATTCCTTCGTGTGTAATATAAACTTTTTCTCTTTCCTTCATACTGTATGTCATAAAATATAAAATAGTATAAAAGAATTTATCAGGATCTAGGTGTAGAGTAGTAATATAAAATATAAAACATAGCATTTGTTTACAAAATGCTTTTTTCACTATAATGTTTGTATTTTAAGCTTATTTCTAAGATTTGGGAATGTAAAATCATTAAGATTTTAAGAAAGAATTTCTTTAAACAATTTTTTATATCATCTTATATACACAAATTTATTGTTTTATTCCTGAATATGAATTATATCAGCTATTGTAGCAAAAATGTTTCATAATTTCATAATAATAATCAAATGCAATAACTTCTTTTATGTATTTATTAATATCAATTATCATAGCTAGAGAAAAAATTTCCCTCTCAACTCATTTCTTTCGGGTCAATCAATAATTTTCTGATTCCAAAAATTATAATAAAGATCATCATTATAGTATCATTCAATAACTCCCTATTATTTTATAATATTTAATAAATTTATGCATTTCCCTTCTATCATGATAATCAAAATGTAAAGTCTTTTTACTTCTAGCAGAAAATAATTTTATTGATTCATCATCAAAATATCTACGAGGTAATAGAATTTTGTTTATATAAAGTGAGTGGAGCTGATTTAATCGAACTCAAAAATTTATATGTATTGAAAATATCCCATCTATATCTATTTCTTCTAAGTGTTGGCACTTTATAAAGATATTTTCTAATATTCAAATACACTGTAACATATTTTATATTTAGACAATATTTGTGAATTGCTTGATTATATTTTGTTGTTTTATTACGATCATCAGCAAAAGTAATATAAACTTTCAAAAGATTTCCATTTGTATTTTGGATAATGTTTATTACTACATCAAGTGATACGTATTTTAATTCAAGTATTTGAAGATCATAATGGCTTTCATCTATCATGTTATTGAATAGTTTATTACTTCTTGAATGAATGAGAGGTCCATCATATATTTTTAAGAATTGCAAATTAATTAATTTTGGGAAGAGAAAATATAGAAAAGATGTACGTACAGCTATACTGAACAGAATAATTGAGTTTGCATGTTTCTCTAAAGCCTGAGCAATTTTTTTGTTTTCACCACTTTCACTTATACATATGTATTTAATTTGTTTTTGTTTTTCAATTAATTCAACAAGTCCATCAAGTTCATCATGTTCATGAATGAGTATACGAATTTTTTCTATTGACCTGCATATTTGTGCTAATTCATGATAAAAATTTTGTTCTTTTATATTACAATCTAATTCATATAAATTTGAAAGAGAAATATTTACTCCTGGATACTGATATATTGGATAATCTAACATATCCATACACAAAGATTTTATAGACGAACATTCACTAATAAAAAGCTTATAAATTTCTTCCTTTAATAAACTTGACCTATTTGAAAAAATATAATAAATATCATCAAGATATTTACAAAATCTAATATAATTAAAAGTAAGTTTTTGCTTTTTAAAATTTGCTCCAATGGCACTTTTATCTTTTAAAAATTTTATTGAATTATCTGATAAATGTGAAATGATAATAATTAATAATGATTCTTCATTGTAAACATATTTATAAGGGTACCTCCATAAAATTGGAATCATAACTTCACACCAAAGTTTGTTTACCAACAAACAGGAATGTAGAGATTGTTTATCTTTTCTGTTAATTGAATAATATAAATCATTAAAAATGTAATAAAGAATATCACCATTTAATTTTGACATTTTTTTTTTTTTTTTGGTATAAAGATATAAAAAGAGTGAAAATAACCAAAAGTAAAGTAGTATTTAAAATTATAATTGTTAGTCATAATTAGTTGAAATTTGTATGTACTGTACTATATACATGATGATCTTTGCAAAGCAATAACAGTTTCATTTCGAGTATTCATTGAAAGAAATATGTCAAAATTAGAGAAAACCTCTTGAAATAATTATAGTATGGTACTGATATAGTAAATTGTTATGATTGAAAATGTTTCAATATATTGTTTAACCCTCAGTTCCTTATTTTAAGAAAATTAAATATTAAGTACGATATGAATGAAATGTTTATGAGTTTAACAAATAATTAATCTATTAGTGTAAAGATCCTTTTATGTAATCAACTACTTTTAACGAAATTGTCATAATTATTTAAGTCGTAATCCTATTCAAATACTATTATTAGTAGTAAAGCAACATTTACCAATTGATTCATTTTGCATAATAGTTTTACTTTATTATTTAGGAGCGAAAATTATTTTACTGCATCTAGTCATAATATATAACATTTATTGAAATAATAAATTTTAATTAAGGATGA